ACACAATATAATGTCGACAACTGTAGGGGAATTTGTAACTTTTGAATCTATCACAAAAAAAGAAAAATTAAAAACATGATTCAACTCTGACTCATGAAGCTCAACTCTAAAATCCATAAAAGAGCAGCAGATTTAAAGAAATAAGGAATAATAAATATGAAGATGAAAATGAATGATATTTTTTAAATAAAGGGAAAAAATAACAAAAGCTAGTCCTCTATGAAAGCAAAACCATTGGAAAGACTGTTTGCAACAAGAACAGCAAAATTTAAAAGAATTTTTTAAAATCCATTTTTAAAAATTAAGAATACTTATTTTTAAAAATAAAATATTGAATAAAAGTAATAACTACAGATATGATAGATTAGAAATAATAAAATATTATAAACTAGATAGCAACAAAATTTGAAAATGTGGATACAATTCTAGAAAAATACAACTGCCCAAATTACTACAATAAAATATAAATAGACCTCGCAAATACACCATAAGGTACTAATGGTATTTAGTGATAATACGGTAATTGACTACCCCCAAAATCCTCAGCCAAGAAGGTTTTATAGGTAAGAAGTAGTAAAATTTATATAATTTCTACATTTACAAGTTATGATAAAATCTTTATACCCCAAATCTGATATGAATTGTATAGGAATGAAAATTTTAGGGACCACTTTGAATCACAGGTGTATACAACCTAAGTTTCAAGCTAAATAAATATATTGGGTTAAGAGGGATTCATCCCAGGAACTAGAGCTGGTTCTGCCTTAGGAGGAGCCGTCACTGAAGTTGACCACATTAATGGATTATGGGGGACAGGTCATGGCCATGTCAGTGGGCTCAAGAACACACTGAACCTAGTTCAATGCCCATTTATGAGGAAAGCTCTTGAGCAAACGGGAATTAAAAAGAACTTCCTCAATCTGACAGGCACTGTCCTCCAAAATCTACAGGAAAAATGCTTCACAGCGAAACTTGAGGAGCGTCCCTTGAGGGTCAGGAGCCAAGAAGACACACTTACTGTCACCACTGCTGACTAGCATAACATCAGAAGTCCTGGCCAATGAAGTCAAGCAAGAAAAATAAGAAAAAGGACAGAGGGCAAAAGAGACAATTATTATCTGCAGATGACAGATGTCCATACATAACCAAGGAGGATCAAGGAACAATTAGAACTATTAACACATTTGTCAAAGTTGCTGAGAAAGTCAAGAACTATTTTTAATAACTATAAAAACCCCCAAAGTAATCTAACAAAAATGTACAGGACTTTAATAGAAAAAGTTTAGAGGTTTCTGATCCTAAACAGGAATACAATAAAATCTGAATAAAGAAATATTCTGTTCATGGATATAAAACCTCATGTTATAAATGCATCAGTGTTCATATGGAAGAAGTATCTCTACTGCTAGAGTTTAAATCTTAAATGTCCCCCAGATGCCTATGTATTGAAGGATTTGTCCCCATCCTGTGGCACTACTGGGAGGTGGTAAAACCTGTAGAAGGTAAGGCTTAGTAGAAGGAAGTTAGGTCATTGGTGTCATGACCTGGGAAGGTGATATTAGGGGCCCGGCTCCTTCCTAGTTTTCTCTTTGTTATGGACTGAGCATCTTACTCTACCAAGTGCTCCTGCTATGATGTTCTGCCTCACTACAGGGCCAAGAAGCAAAGACTAAAACCTCTAAAACCATGAGCCAAAACAAACCTTTCCTCCTTATACGTGATTTTCTCAGGTATTTTGTCACAGTAATGCAAAACTCATTAACACATGTACTATTATCCAATTGAGTTTAAAAAAGAAAAACAAAAAAGGGAATCACCTTGCCTCAGGTCACTTTGTAAAAACAGTGATAGAAACACTGTGGTACTGGCACAGGAACAGGCAAACAGACTGGTGTAGTTGAACACTAAGTTCAGAAACACACCAGAGTACATAGGAAAGGCTGGCTTTTGAGTGAAGTAGCTTCATCAGCCAGGGAAAGATGGATTTTTGTTGTTGTTGTTATATGTTGGTGGAAAATTGCCTTTGGGGAAGTATTGAGGGAGAGAAAATCATCTTATCTCACCCCTACGAAAAGTTGCAGGGAGATCCGAGCGTGAACGCTCATAGATAAAAACTTAGGATAACTCTTGAGAATTTGGGGGTGGAGAAAAGGTTTCTTTAGCAAGATCCAAGAGAGACAAGTTGTGCTGGAAAATGAGATAGATCTGTCTATGTCAAAGTGGCAGTACATTGAGTATAACCAGGTGTCAGCCTCTGCTCCAGACTTACCTGGAGACAGTCATAAGAACATTGTAGGATCCTTGGTGTCACCCACTGAGGGGGGGAAGACAGACATTGAGATTCAGGCAAACGGAGCCTCCAAGGGCATGTGGCAGAAAGGGGTGCCTTGAGGGTCTCTTATTTTCTTGGACTGAATTGCTGCCCTTTTTCAAGGGGTTCAGATTTGTCTATGGAGATCCTCTAAGTGAGGAACCTCACATACAGGCGCAGGGAGCAGAGGGATTATGAAAATTTCATCGTAGGCCTGATCATCCTGTTGCTGCCCACACTTTTTGGGGTGGGTGTGGGTCACCTGAATGCAAGGGGTGGGCTGGTCAGGGATGCCTCCCAAGCAGCCCTGACCGGGTTCCAGAACCATGCCAGGAGCTTGTTTAAAATAATTTGGAGGGCCCCACCCCAATATGCCCTGATTCAGGAGGTGGCTCAGGAATCTTCACCCGACCAGCTCCCAGGGGCCAGTGTTGGACCTGCTGAGCAGGATCACCAGCCCCCAAGGAAGCAGAGCTGCCTGGGCTGGGGATGTGCAAGGGTAGGAAGCTCAGCTGTGCCCTGGGCAGGATGGGAAGGGCAGGGGCTTGAGATGGAAGATGCCAGCAAGGGTCAGGTCTGATCCTGTGCCCCAGAAGGCTGTTCACTGCTTGCCCCCTGCACCAGCCTGGGAGCTCTTGGGGGACATTCATTCATTCCTACATCCCTTCAGCCCATAAGTGCGCATTCATGTGCTGTTGTACCTGGGGGACCCATCAGCCCTTCTAGCACTTTCCATCTAGAAGGGACAGGGCAGTAACACCAAGTGGCACTAATAAGTAGTACTAAGTGTGTGATGGAGAACCAGCAGACCCTAGAGGGACACCTGTCCTCCACTTAGGAGACCTGGAGAGGCCCCCCGGAGGATGTGAGGTCTGAGAGGGCAATGAATGAAGCAGTCAGAGGGGAGCTGGGAATGGGTTCAGAGATGGAATGGCATGTGCAGCCCTTGGTGGGGACTGGAAAGGTCAGTGGCTGGATGACGGAAAGTCCCAGAAAGAAGTCATGAGCTGAAACCCGTCTCGAGGCCTCTGGGTAGCAACGAAAGGGTCTCTCCTTCCACTTGCCTGGCTCCCAGCTTGGGAGCTGACCTAGGATGGCCACAGGGAATGTGTGGTGACAGGTGACTTCTCCCATCTGAGCTGGCTGGGCTGACCTGAGCTGCTGCCCACTGCTCTCACAGTTCCGTCCCCCATCATTCCCATGAGCCTAGCAGCTCTCCATCTGGGAACTGCGTAGCATTTTCCTTCAGCACCTGGAATATTAACCTCTCCATGAGAACCGGCCACTGCCCAGAGCTGGGAACCTGAGGCCGGCAAGGAAAATGGCGTGCTGTTCCAGAGTCTGAGAAGCATTGGGCTCCTCTGACCTTCTCTGACTTCCAAGGCAGTTAAAAACTGTGCTTCTAAGAGAACTGCATGGCTCTGTCCTGAGGGTGGGCCTTCAGGGCAAATCCCAAAACCATCCCACAGCCTGGCACTTAGAGGATCGTCTTCTGGGCCTTGGGGAAGGGAGGGCAGGCCCTTTCTCCACCAGAGGAAGTGGCACAGGCTCATGGTGAGTCTGATCCCCAGCTGGCCCCATGCTCGGGGACTGCCATGTGTACGTCCAATGTCAGCATTTTCCTGCTCCACATTTTTGGGCCAGGTGCCCTGCGTGCACACACTCAGACCTCCTTCTCTCCTGGGGAAGCTGGGGACAGATGTGGCTCCTGAGACTCCTGCAAGGAGGGGGTTAAGGGCTCTCCATATCATGTCATGCAAAGGCCAGCAGAGCTGTCACTCCACCTAGCCCCCTCTGCCCTCCCACCCTCTGCCCCCCACTGGGGCTCACTCAGGACTCCACACAGTGCAGGCAGAGAGGATGGGGCTTGTGCCCTGGAGGAGGCTGTAACAGGAGGCTGCTGGGGAAGGGGCAACTTTGGTGGGGTTCCTGGGAACCCAGGTCAGGGGAAGAGTACGAGCCTCCCCACACCCCCTCCCCAGTTGCCAGTGAAACGTCAACCCCTTAAGGAGGTCATCCCCCGAGGGTGGTTTTCCCTAAAACCTTTTTTCCTCTAGCTTAGCTAATTCATGCATTGCTTAATTTTGCTCCAGAAACTATGTATAGCTTGTGTCCCTAAAACAAGTAACAGAATAGAGTTTGCCAAGGAGCAAATCTGGGCGTTATGGAGGGGGTGGTCCAGTGTTGGCAGGGAAGGCGGGGCTTATTTGCATATGCAAAAGACAAGTTTCCAGACCCCGCCCCCCAGCTCCTGGCCTCTTCCCGCCAGGCTGGGGGCAGGGCTGGAGGCAGGGCTTGGGGCTGGGCTGGGGGCCAGGAGAGGGGTGGAACTGCAGGGATCCTCCCAGGCTCGCTGCAGGTCTAGAGCCACCGACAAGCGTGCCATCTGCCCCAGGAACCAGCCTCTACTGCGAAATCGGTGCCCGCCTAGGTGCTGTTGGTTCACCACCTGCCAGACCAGAGGGTGCCCTCCCTTGAAGGCAGGGCCGCCCTGAGTGGCCAGGGCAGGGTGTCCAGTGGATGCTGAGAGCGCGCCCTTGCGACCTAGGGGAGGTGGGTGGGGAGGAAGCGCCTGGGTGCACTGGGGGAACCTGCCAGGCCACAGCAGGGCGACACAGCCACGCACCTGGTTCCCGGGGGCGGGGCGCACAGCTCCAGTCTAAACTGCCCTCGGGGCTTCTGTTCCTAGATCCACTTCCCGGATGTGGAGCGGGTTGAGTGGGCCAACAAGGTAAGGCTGTGGGCGGGGCCAGGCGGGTGGACTCCCTGCGCCTAATCCTGCTGCAGCCGGGAGGTGGGTGGGGCTGGGACAAAGACCTCAGGTCCAGCAGTTCCCTTGCTCTAGAGGGACAGAGATGTCCCCTCTGCTGCTGGGGTAGCAACCTCCCCTTTCTTCATTCACCAGGATGGTTTTCTTTAAGAAAAAGTCTAAGATTAATACATGGGCACATCAGAAAATAGTATAGAGAAAAGTATAACCCTTCCCCGACTCCCTGACAAGATCAGCACTTTGGCAGGGAGAGGCAGACAGAGGTAGACAACAGCTCTGGATTTCACCTGGTTTTCAGGCCAGATATGCCATCACGGTGGCTATGCAACCTTGAGAAGTTTGACTCACTTCTCTGAGCTGGTTTCCTTATGCATAAAATGGGAGTAACTACTCCTTCACTGACGTCATTGTTATGATTGCTGTTAGATCATCTAGGTGACTTCCTTTGGGCACTACTGCCAGATGCCCTGAGGGTCGCCTTGTAACCTCCTTGCAAGGAGCCCCACTTTACAGATGAGAAACCTGAGTCCCTCTCCTACCTGAGCTGCCCAAACTTGTGAAGGCCCACTGCAGTCCTCACCTCAAGTCTCCAGAAACTGGACGTAATGCCTTTGTTCTGGGAGAAGACTTAGCCAGTAGCAGGAGGAACTTAGGTTAGGTATAAGAAAGAACTTCCTGATAGTTGTTGATCTATGGTTGGTGTTTTATATTACTAGAAATGTCATTTCAAAGTGCATCAAAACTCTCCCCACGCCCCACCCCAGCCTCTGGGTAAAATTCGGAGGGAACAGGTTTCTGCCTTTGGAGGAGAGGCAAGGTTTCTGTGGATTAATGCAGTGCCTGGGGCCTCTGGAGCAAGCCTTGTAGAGGTCTTCTGTGTGTGTGTGTTAGCCACGCCCTGGACTACTGCATGTCTGAAGGTCAGGCCTCAAGAGGCATTGGAGGTAGAGGGCTATTGGGATGAGGCCCCTCCTGATCCTTACCATGGGGAGGTAGACCTCATTCTAGGCTGCACTCCAGAGGCACCAGAGAGTGACAGACCAGAGCTGCAGGAAGCTGGGACCAGCCCACAGAAAGAACCAGGGCTTTCAACAGTCCTCTGCAAATCTCATAACTTGAGGCTCCTCCAGTTATGGGTTTGGAAGGGGGGCATGGGAAGGAGGTCCATCTTTAAATTAAGGCCCAAACCCAACAGGCAGGGTGGAGGAGAGGCTGCTGCTCCAACAGGAAATAGCCCGGCAGCCCCTCCAAGCCCCCCCCCACCACCACTACCACCTGCCATCTCCACCTCCCTCCTGCTAGAATAGGAAGAGACATGAGGGGTAAAAGTGAAGCCCAAATAGTCTATAGGTTAGTTTTAAATGCTCTAACAGTGCATTCACATGCTGTGTAAGGACATTTTGGTCGACAAAGGCTGCAGATTCAATGGGGATTCTGTAAGGTTATAGTGGAATTGAGAAATTTTCAAATGATGCATGAATGCATTATGGTTATATAAGGTACCGACTTCAAGGGGAACTTGGTCCCACCTGTGTGTTCCCAGACCAGCACCAGGAGCCATTCTGCTGCAGAATCAGAAAAAGGCTGCCTTTTCTGACTGCTGGAAATAAAAATCCCTGGGGAAACAGTCTAACTCTTTTTTTCTGTAATATTTTCCCCCATACCGCTGTCATCTGCTCACTCTTTGTGTAAACCACAGTGTAGAATGAGATTACATTGTAGCACAGAGCTAGAGGGCTTCATGTTATTAGATTTAGTGGATGAGTATTTCCATGGGGCTCTGCAGAATGTCCCCCAAACCTTGGGGTCCTGCTGCCTGCACAAGAGTGGAAACCACGGCTATAGTTATCAGATGTCTGAGGGAAAGATGACAGGCAGACAGATGGGTGGGCAGGCAGGGGAGTGGGTGCTGCAGCATAGGAACCGTGGGGCCCCTACCCCTGGGACAGGGCTGTAGACAATCAGGACCTCGTCCTGGGCAGGTGCGGGTCTCCAGTCAGGGGCACATACCTGACCACCAAGGGCCTCTTCCTGTCCTCACAGATCATCGCCCAGATCTGGCCCTACCTCAGCATGATCATGGAGAACAAGTTTCGGGAGAAACTTGAACCCAAGATCCGGGAAAAGAGTGCCCACCTGAGGACCTTCACCTTCACCAAGCTCTACTTTGGACAGAAGGTGGGTGTTGTCTCAGGGAGGTCAGCCTGGACTTGCTAGGAAGTCTTTTCTCTGTCTCCTCTTTTCCTGCCTCCCACTCCCTGGTCACTTGACTGTAAAGATCCTACTGGACCTTGGAGAGGGGCGACCCCCACAATCTGCCATTCCCAGCATCAGCCTCCGTTTATAGCCTTCATCCCCAGTCCTTGTGCTGCCATATCTACAGGTTCCCAGGAAGCTACGTCTCAGAAGCAGAAGGGGGAAGTGAGAAGTTGTTCCTCTCGCAAAAAAATGTTTAAAACATGCCGGGCATGGTGAAGCATGCCTGCAATCCTAGCATCTAGGGAGACTGAGGCAGGAGGATCTCAAGTTCAAAGCCAGCCTCAGCAACTTAGTGAGACCCTGTCTCAAAGTTGAAAAAAGAGCCAGGTTAAGCAACCCTGGGTTCAATCCCTGATACAAAAAAAAAAGTCGTGGTGCCAGACAGATTCATGATGAGCAAGCCATGCTAACCTCATGGTCTGTGATAGTACATAAAGCAGTTTATGATGCCCTGGTTGGTCCTGGCATTTGGTTGGAAGCCCCCACAACTCTGTGAAGACCAACAGGGATCCCAGGATAAAATGGTCCATGGCCAAAGAGGTTTGTGTTCAGCACACCTAACATCACATCCCGGGTCTAGACCAGGTTTCCAGTTTCACCCTCTGGACCCCATTCCTCCCACGCCAAGGAGCCCACCGAGGTGAGTCTTATTTGATCATCGCTGTCATGACATCCACCACTCAGTAAATCAGAGGTGCTGGCATCCAGCCTGCCCTGGAGTATGCTGGTTTCAGAGCAGGCCAGCCTACCAGCCCTGGAGACAGGGCAGAGGAGGCTGCCTGACCCGCAGAGATTCTGGTTTAGGCCCCCGGGCTCTGCCAGCACCAGCTCGGCCCAGGGTTGCTTGGCTCACACACAGCTTACTGAGCATGCGCTGTGTTCGGTGCTATGGAGCGCATGCGCCACACCTGCCTACAGGAGACAGACGAGCTAGTAGGGGAACCAAGGCATTCCGTGCAGGGTGGTCGAGCACCTGGGTTCAGGGGTTCAGAGGTGGAGGGGCGAGGGCTGGCGCGGGGGCTGGGGGACTTCTGGGAGGAAGCGCTGAGTTGGCATGTGACTAATTCAGCAGGCAGGAGACCTGAGAGTCCTCTCTGCTGACTGCAGAGCCTGCCCAACCAGGCCACTCCTCTGACTGGGCGTCTGGGGACGTGGTGCTGGGGCAAGTCATCCTAAGGAATGATCTTCCCCATGCCAGGGAAGATCAAGTCTGTGCCCAGCTCCCTCTGCACTTGGACCAAGGACTAAACCTCTCTGAGCTCCAGTTTCTTCATGTCTGAAAGGAAAAGAGCTACTTCTTAAGGTGGTCGTGAGGCACATATGGCAGGCCTGGCCTTGGTATGGCTCTATGTGGCTGGTGGCAGTGTCCTGCGTTGTGGAGGTCAGTTCTAGCCCGGTGCTCCTCACCTGGCTGTGAGCCCTGTTGGCACAGAGTAGGTCTTCATGGCAGAGGCCTCCAGGCAGTCATTTCTCCCTGAGACCTGGCTCTGTGGATGTGGGTCTTTGGGGCTGGCCAAGCTTTTGTAGGTACCAGGTGAGCCCCTCCCAACCTCTTGGCCCCCAGCAGGCCCTGGATGGCTGCTTAGTCTCAGCACCCTCTTCCAACACAGGCTTCCACTGAGGCAAGGCAGAGCCCAGGGCTGTGCCATTTGAGGCTTCCATAGTACTAGGGACTCTCTTGAAGAAAAGGAATGTAGAATCAAAAATGCAAAATGGGGGTAAAGTGAATATTAAATAAATAGGAGGGCTGGGGTTGTGGCTCAGCAGTAGAGCACTCGCCTAGTACCTGTGAGGTCCTGGGTTCAATCCTAAGCACCACATAAAAAAATAAATAATTAAAATTTATTAAACAATAAATAAATAGGAGAAAGAATAAGAAAATAAATTGGAGCATGTTACACATTTTAAAAAGCTGACAAATCACACTTATCACAGACTCTGGAAAAACCATATGACATTTTTAGTGAACTTGTCTAATATGTCCTATAATACATTTTTCTCCTTTTTTTTTTCTTCTCCATACTCAGAACCATTCCATAGGACAGTGCATTTGTAAATTCCACTTTTTGTGGAGCAAGTCAAAAGTTAATGAATCTTTTCTCTAGTGGTACTGATTGAATTTTTTCTGCAATATTTCTTATGAAAAATTTCAAACAAACAAAAAAAATTTTAAAGCTATTCAGTGAACATCATGTACCTACCATCCAAATTGTGCAGATGGTAATCTTTGGCTATATTTTATTTATTACATATCCATGCATCTATCTCTCTACATATCTTTATTTGTTCTTTTTAGATATACATGACAGTCGAGTGTATTTTGACACATATACATACATGGAGTATAACTTCACATTCTTGTGGTTGTACATGATGTGGAGCTACACTGGTTGTGTATTCATATATGAACACAGGAAAATTATGTCCAATTTATTCCACTGTCTTTCCCATTCTCATCCTCCCACACCCCCTACCCCATGCAATCTGGTATACTCCACCCCCCACAATTGTGAGTCAGCATCCACATATCAGGGAGAACATTTCCCCTTTGGTTTTTTGGGATTGGCTTATTTCGCTTAGCATGATAGCCTCCAGTTCCATCCATTTACCGGCAAATGCCATAATTTCACTGTTTTTATGACTGTCTACTCATTTAAAAAAAATGCATTTCAAATTAAATAGATATTGGTGAACTTCACCCCTAACCCAGCATGAACATCATTAATTAAGATTCAAATGAATTTTTTTTTTTTACCCTTGATCAGTAATAACCAGACTGCTGGACAGAAGAGTCTGAGCAGGTGGAGCTGAAAGCAGAAGGAAAGTTACCTGGGAACCAAGGTCTTGGCCCAGAGCCTGGGGCTCAAGGCTCTGTAGCTGTGCACTTGAATCCTCAGGATGGGATCCCTCACCAAGGATCCTGCCCCCTTCCCTTTCCTCTATGGGGCCACCTCACCCGCCAGACTTAGCTTAAATGCTTCCCCCTCCAGGAGCCTACCTTAGCCCCGCCCAAGCTGGACAGGTGGTCCTGAAGTCCCAGATGCCTCAGGACAGCAGGGCTGCTCCTCCTGTGGCCCCTTCCTGCCCTATTTGTCTCCTGGGCTGGACTGCAGGCCTATGAGAGCAGACTGGGTCCCTCTTGCTCCTTGCTTTCTCCCAGTCCAGGGCTATGCAGGGTAGACGCTCAATAAATAGCCGTGACAGGAGACAAAGGAGGGGACACCTTCAAGGGAGGGACACCTCGGGCTGCAGGTGGGTTTCTGTGTGTATTTTGTTTCTCAACCCAGGAGCACAGCGGCTTGTGGGCAGGGGCTTGTGGCCATCTCTGTTTTGAGAACCTACTGACCTTCCTGCCTGCCATCTCTTCCAGTGCCCCAGGGTGAATGGTGTCAAGGTACATACTAACAAATGCAACCGAAGACAGGTCACCTTGGACCTGCAGATATGGTGAGCCCTTGTGCCAGGTGGGGGTTTCCAGGGACAGGGAATCTCTGTGGGAGCAGCCAGTTGGAAGATGCAGTGGCATGTCTACACTCTGATTTGGGCTGTGGAACCCCTCGTTGTGCTGGGGCACAAGGGCAGGAGTATCAGGAAAAATGGATGGAAGAATGACTGGTCCTGGGGGAGCTGCCACTCGCTGGGCCCACGGCCCAGTCCTGGCTTCTCCCACCCCCTGGCTCATTCTGGATAACAAGGAAGCCGGGGCTGGGATCACCTAGAGGGTCAGACCAGCTGCCTCAGGATGCAGAGAGAACAAGGGAGGGAAACCCAGGGAGTTCCCAGCACGAATTGAGAAAGGCCAGCTGGAGGCCAGGAGGATGCAAAGTCTGAGAAGCAGCTAGGTTAGCAGGTGGGACCCAGTCACCTCTTTCAAGTGAGGTTCATAACAGGCTTGAGTCAGGATCAAGGGAGACTCCGTCCAGGGTGTCTTCCTGCAGGTGGTGAGATTTGAGTTGTGCTTTGAAAGACAGAGGGTCAACTCCTGAGTCCCAGAGTGACCGCCCTTCCTTCCCAGTGTCTCATTTTCTGATCTTTGCCCAGAAGCTGGCCCTGAGAGCATGCTGGGGAGATGGGAGCCAATTCTGGGGCCACCCGCCCCTCTTTAGGGATTGGTCTCCAGGCCACCAGGTGCTCCTGGCCCTTGAGGCTCTGCCATGAGATCCTGTGTGAATAGTTGGAGCCCCTGGATGCCATCTGACCCACCCAGCCTCCCAGGCAGTACCCAGGGCCCCTGTCTGCACATCCTGCCTGCCCCCACTCAGCATTTCTGACTTGTGACGTCAGGCTCCTCTGCCTGTGACCTGCAGATGTGTTTCAGCCACTCTCATCCCCCTTAGTCCTCTGACCTTTAATAGTCTCCTGATCTTTACCCTCAAGGGCACTTGTCCTGGGCTCCTGTTCTTGCAGCCTGAGGCCTTGTCACCTTTGCCCACCTCCACCCGCCCCCGCCACACCCTGGGCAGTGGCTTGATGTAAGCACTGGGGCTGCTTCTGGAAAGAGACCCGGGCAGAAATGGGGCAGGGACGCAGCAGTGGTAGAGAGGGGCAGTGTGTTTACCAAGAGCTGATTCTTTCCATCTTTGGGTGTCATGGGGCAAGGTGATGTTCAGAGTCATTGTCCTAAAGGTCAGTCATTGTCCCAAGATGCAGGGGACTAAGGGGCTACCTCTCCTGATCTGGACCTGGGTTAGGATCTAAACAGAATCAAGGAAGGCTGAGGCTGTAGCGGAGGCTGTGTGGCAAGTGACATAGCTTAGATTTGGTGGCCAGTAGCTAGGGATCAGGCTGTGCAACACTGGGCAAGTTTCCAGACCTCTCTGAGCGGGTGGACTTGCCCCCTCTCCATTCTTCCTTCTCCCTCCCCATTTCAGCTACATCGGGGACTGTGAGATCAGTGTGGAGCTGCAGAAGATACATGCAGGTGTGAATGGGATCCAGGTGGGTGGAGCCACATGACTGCCTCTGTTCCAGCCCCTGGGGACAGAAAAAAGTACCTGGAAGGCAGGAGCCAGCTCAGGCAGGAGCAGGCTGCAAAAGGTGGTGAGGAACCAAACACAGGCTGGGGACTGAAGAAACCGCAGGCCCAGGGTCACATGGCCAGGAAGTGGTGCTGGGCTTCAGTCCCAGCTCTGCCTCAGGGCTGCACAACCTGCCTCAGGTTGCAAAGTCCCTGGGTGGCTCCAGCTGCCTGGGGGAGAGAGGCATTCTGGAGTGATGAAGAACCATCACTTAGACATCCAGGTGAGAGCAGGAGGTGGCGATGTCACCCCAGGAACACGCAGTGACATTGCGTCCCTGCTCCTGGAGTGGTTAGCACATCACAGAAAGTGATTGGGGTCAGCCTGTGGCCTTGGTGGCTGGCACAAGAGTTGATGCTATGTCCAGGCTCCTGCACGCCTAGTGTGGTCCCTACTGTGACAGCAGGTGGCCTAGGGTAGGTGGTCCTGATATGGACATGGAACAAGGTAGGAAATGACCTCGGCCGAGTGCAGCAGACCAGAAGAAAGAAGACCTGCTTTCTTAGCCTCTGTGCCCATCCAGTTGCAGGGCACCCTGCGGGTCATCCTGGAGCCCCTCCTGGTGGACAAGCCCTTCGTGGGAGCTGTCACCGTGTTCTTCCTTCAAAAGCCGGTGAGCCCCGGGGACAGGGGGCAGAGATGCTCCTGAGCAGAGCCCTTGGGTTGGAGCCCAAGAATGGACATTGCTATAGCCCCCCCAGGCCTAGGCCCTCATGCTCCTGCCTCGATTAATCCTCCAGCAGCCTGAGGAGTCAAACTTGGTCCTACCAAGAGACAAAGCCCAGAGGGGGCACACAGGTGGTCTGAAGAAGAGCTCACAAACTCGGCTCTCCAAGGCCAGGCAGCCTGCAGCCGAATGGGCAGGCTTCCTCCTGTGGTGGGTCTTGGCAGGAGGCAGCAGGCTGGCAGCCCTGGCTTCATCCTGAGCTAAGGCCCGAGCAGGTCAGGGAAGTGCCCTTGCCCATCTGACCTGCCCACAGGGGGCAACCCTGGCAGGCTGGGCTCTCTGTTCAGGCAGGTGTGAGGTACTTGGAAGAGGTTCTCAGCTCCTTGTGGCCTAACAGCCTCCTCCTGCCCCTGTAGCATCTGCAGATCAACTGGACAGGCTTGACCAACCTGCTGGATGCACCAGGCATCAAGTAAGTGCCTGGGAACCTCCAGGGAGGGTCCCCAGTGGAGGCACAGGGTTCTGCTGTCAGTGCCGGGAGCTGCACAAGGATGTGCCCACCCTCCTGTTCCATGCATGAGGACTGGGGCGAGAGGGGACAGCCTTGAGCCCTCCCTTCCACAGGGAGAGCCTCCGTAGGTGTGGGCCGAGGCTGACAGGGCTATGCCCAGAACACACACACACACACACACACACACACACACACACACACACGCAAGAAGTGCTTTACTCAGTGTTGGGCTGAGGGGCATTCAGGTCCCTGTCCTGGGGCTCTGATCAGATGAGATGTTCTGGAGACCACAGGGGCTAGTGAGAGAGGAGCCCAGGCCAGCTAGCTCTTGGCTCTGTCACTTAGCAAATTTGTGACTGTGGACAGGCTATTTCACTTCTCTGGGCCTGTGGTCAGTTAAAGGGAAGCCTGGTTCCTCTGACTCAAGGTCCCTGGGAGAGCATTTGGGGATGTATTGACCATACACTGGGATTGGGCACATCCAGGTATCCTCTTCATTCTTCAAGCCAGCCCCTCCCTAGCCCATGTCTGTGGTGAGAAGTCCAGGTGGCCTCATGACTGTGGTCATGAACTCAGGCACAGGAGGGGCTGGCTGTCACAGCGGAGGCTGGTGAGGAGGGGCTGGTCTGGAGGTCCCAGGCCCCTGATGAGGCGCAGAGGAGGGCTCCAGCCCCTCAGTCATGCCTCCCCAGGAAGGAGGGACAGGGACTGGCCAGGGTAAGCACTTCTTTCATTCAAACAACATTTGTTGAGCACTCATTGTGTGTCCCTCCTGTCCCTATATCCCTGTTTGGGGGAGAACGAGGTGAGCTATAATGAGACCAGGGGCGTGCCAGGCAGCAGAGGGCTACAGTAGCCAGCTCTTGCGTAGTGTTTCCATGGTCCAGGCACCGCACACGTCTCTTCCCCTACAGCTACTCAAGGAGGCCGACATTGCTAGCCGACCTCCTAGAGATGAGGGAACCCAGGTGCACAGAGGCGGGTGATATACCTAAGGTCACACAACTAGGGGGCAGTTGAGCTGAGATCAAACCCAGGCCCAGGGTCTGTTCTTGGCCATCCAGAGAACAAAGCAGGACTGCGGTGGTGGGTGCCAGGGGGTGCAGGGGGGAGGGCTGCTATTTGGGACAGAATATCAGGGTTTGTCAAAATGGATAGCCACCTCCATCCAGGTGGGAAGGGGTCAGGCTGCCTGTCAGGGCTCACACCAAGCTGGGCTGTCGGTTCCAGTGCTGAGGCTGGGTGGAGGGACAGGTGGCATGGGGAGGGAGTGTTACCCTGCTATAGTTGTCATGCCTGATACCCCAGTGAAGTGTCGGACAGCCTGCTGGAGGACCTCATTGCTGCCCACCTGGTGCTGCCCAACCGCGTGACTGTGCCTGTGAAGAAGGGCCTGGATGTGACCAACCTGCGCTTCCCTTTGCCCTGTGTGAGTGAGTACCTGGTGCTGGCCGCAGCATCAGTGTGGAGGGACACCTGGGCGGCTGGGGAGGTGTCCTGAAATGCATTCTCAGATACTGATCCCAATTTCTACCCTTCGAGGGCTGGCATCCCATTTCATAGGGTGGAGACTGAGGCCAGGAGGTGGGATGACTTTGCCTGAAGTCATTTTACCATCCAGGGAGGGGCAGAGCCCAGGCACATTCTCTTCTGTGCTCCTGGCACCCCCTGTGGCTTGTGTTGAGGACTGTGTGCAGTCATTCCCATAACACCCCAGGAGGTCCCTGGACTCTGTCAGTTTGGGTCAGGAAGAACCTTTGGGCCTACTGAGGAAGAGTCTCAGTTGAGCTGGTGCTGGCACTTCGTGGGCACTGAGCCACATTGTTTCCCCATCCTGGGGCCAGCTCAGGACGTCCTTGGGGACAGTCATATGGCATCTCTACAGAAAGGTGTCTTGGCTGTGGGACTGAACGCCTAGGGGCTGGGCATCAGGACCCCAAGAGAGGGGAAAGCACCCATTCTTACCCTCAGCACCAGGTAAGAGCATGGCCTTCTTGATGAATGGGGCACACATCTGCTGAGGGGGGTGGGATCCCAGAAAACCCAGGCTGGCTGGGGATACAGCTCATATGTCCTCTCAGCCTTCCCATGGTGGCCCACTAGTGTGGCCTGCACTGTATGTGTGATGGTCCCCAAGTAACAATACAAATGCATCCTCCCATATCACAATTACCAAAGACTTGCTGTCCTTAGAGTATGTCCCACTGTCCTTAGAGTATGACCCACTTGGGACGTATGAGTAGTCACACTACTACAATTTAGACTCCCTTGGAATAGTTCTATTTGGCCACAAATGTTTACATTTGTTTGTTTCAGTCTATTTTTTACGACTTAATTGTTACCTTAATTTCCTTTTACAATTATGCAAATAGTTGTGAGTTTCTAAAGTATTATATAAAAACCAAATTATACTTTAAGAAATTCAACTTCTACCTCTTGTTCCCTCCAGTGGATCCTTCTTTCCTATAACTAATGGTTTATCCTGCCATTATTTTTCCTTGGTTGGTTTTCATTAAGAATAGATAGATATATACGGTCCTATGTGCACATATTTGATTATCTTCATAGTCCCCTTCCTTGGGAAGATGTAGCCTACTGCAGTTTCCCTACCTTGTTTTTGTCACTCACTGGGTTGTGGAAGTCTCACAATGGCAGCATGGAGACCGCCCTCATTCCTTCACAGCTGCTGGGAGGCTCTTCACTGTGGGAATGTACTGAAGCTGGTTCACCCCTTGATGGACAGTTAGGTCATGTGTCTGGACTTTTGCTGTTACAGATACAGTGCAGTGAATAGCCTTGTGCAGGTGTCATCCTATATTTTTGCCAGCATGCCTTTGGGATAGGTTCCCAGATATGGGAACAAAGGGAAAATGTGGGTCAAGGGGAAAATGCATATGTATTTACTGCTATTTCTAAAGAAGTAGTTCCAGGATGGCGGCAGACCTCAAGCCCTGTGAATTGTTCTTTTCAGATTTCCTGTGCTGTTTGTTATTAAGAGTGTTTTAGTTTTCATTTCTTTTTGAACATCCCTCTATGAGTGTGTAGAAGAGCTCTGTGCTGTGGCATGGCCCAGGGTGTGGTGGCTGACACTTGGTGTGGGGCCTTAATGAGTAGAGGGACTTCCTACCAGCAGCAGGCAGTGCCCACAGGATGCTCTACTGGGTGTGGAGAAGAAATGATGTTAGGACGCAGTCTATATGCAGGTTACGTGAAGAGGGCTGATGGGAAGGAGGAAGCTCCTGAGGCGACATGATTGTTGGTACAGGACAGGAAATGGGTGCATTTGAATAGCCCTCCATGTGGCAGTTTGGAGGCAGGGTGGGTGGGAGGGTCAGAGACACGGTAGAACATGCTGGTGCACTGGGAGAGCCTGAGGTCCTACCATCACTTGCTGTGTGGCTTTGGCCAGCTCATTGCTGTCTCTGGCTTCCACCTCCCCATCCAGACCATGGAGCAGGTGAGCTGGGGGTGGTAGTGATCTCTGATGACTGTGGCCCTGCTTTCCTGGGCCTTGATGGCTGATGCAGCCCAGGAAGCAGCTGTGAGCCCTGGGCTGGGGCATTTTCCAGGGGGTGATCAGAGTCTACTTGCTGGAAGCTGAGAAGCTGTCCGCAAAGGACGGCTTCCTGGGACTTGGAGGCAAATCAGACCCCTATGCCAAGGTGAGCATCGGCTTGCAGCACTTCCGGAGCAGGACCATCTACAAGAACCTGAACCCCACCTGGAATGAGGTATTTGAGGTAAGGGTCTCCTTGGCCTCTTTTGACAGTCCTGGGTGTCTAGAGGTTTCATCTGGGCTGGCTGGGCACAGTCAAGGTGGGGCCTTGTCCTGTGGAGAAGCTCTGGCTAGCCATGGGACTTGGAGATGGGCAGGCAGGTTGGTGTGATTCCTGACCATATCCACCAGGCCTCTGGAGGTGGGCTGCCCTGGTCCCATATTTTCAGCATGCGGGCAAATTCCCCTATCTTCTTTCCGTACCAGAAGTAGCTTTGTTGGAAATTCTCAAAGAAAAAAAAGACCCTCAGACAGGCAGTTCTGCCCACACCCCAGCCTTCCCTGCTAGAGCCACACATCAGGAACCTGAAGTCCTTCATTAGGTCCACCCATAGTCCCTGCTACTTGAAGGGTGGACCCACAGTCTGTTAAGACCTCGAAGACCCCTCCAATTTCACATTCCAGGGCTGCCACCTTGGTGCCCTCTCTAACTTCCCCTCACAACCAGCCATCTGTGTGCTGTCACAAATGGGCCAAGATAGGGAAACAGAGTGATAAAGGGTGGATCAGTGTCCTGGGGTGCCACAGCCATGGGGCCAAGGGAGTGTGATGGGCAAGTGCTCCAGAATCCACAGGCCCAAGGCAGAGTAGATAGCAGCCACTGCCCCTACTATTTGTTCATGTTCTCTAGCCTCCTCCACCCTGTGTGAGGGGCATCCTTTCCTCCTTGTGGGTGGGGTTCTGAGGCAATTAAAAGGCCAGGAACCTGCCTGCGCAACAGGCTGGGATTTGGCTCCCTCAGGTCATAAGGGCTGATGGATCAGTCGCTACCTATTGGTCAGGACACCTCTCTCCTTTCAGTTCATGGTGTATGAAGTCCCTGGGCAGGACCTGGAGGTGGACCTGTATGACGAGGACACGGACAGGGATGACTTCCTTGGCAGGTGAGGAGGGTGGAACTGGGCCTTGGACCTCCCCTGTCTGGGGCTGTGGGCTGAGCCTGTGAGGACCCAGGCACCCCTACTCTCATTGCTTACTGACCTGCAACCCTCTCTGGTCACCTTGACATGGTGACTGTGCCAGGCAGCCTGTCCCACCAACCACAGTTCTGCCACTCACTTTCCTGGATGTCTCTCAAGTCTCCACCCCTGACCTAAACCCTGGGGCAGGCCAGAGAGAACCCCACGTATTTTGCATGATGGGCTCTGCTTTCTGCCCTCCTGACAATGTACCCAGAGTCCCCACTTGGAGCAGAGGGCAAGGCTGGCATGGATGACAAGGGATCCAGTTCCAAAGAACATTGGCCACTCCCTCGGGATTCTAGGAAGGTTGAAATGGCTGGGGTAGGACTGGCCATCAGACCTTCAGATTTACATGTCTTTGGGTCAGGCAGTCCCATGTCCAGGAATCTCCTACAAAATAAAAGCATTCGTACTCAAAATGCTATTGTGTAAGTATTTGTGGTAGCAGAACACACCCCCTCCTCACCCTGGAAACATGAATGGATGTCCAGTCCCAGGGCACTGGTCCAATGTTCAAATAAGTTGCCATTGCTGAATGTCAGAGTATTCTGTACTTTTAAAAACAAAGTAGAAGCCAGGTGTGGTGTTACATGCCTATAATCCCAGTTCCTTAGGAAGCTAAGGCAGGAGGGTCACAAATTCAGCCCCAATCTCAGCAGTTTAGCAAGGCCCCAAGCAACTTAGTGAGATACTGCCTCAAGATAAAAAGGGCTAGGGAGGTGGCTCAGCGGTTAAACACCCCTGGTTCACTCCTCAGTACAAAAAAAAAAAAAGTAACATCTATGTGCTGATTGATACCCAATTTGTAGGTAGGGAAGCTCTGTGTCATGGGATCCAGAGGACCTGAATGTGTTCACATGCGCAGAGGAGCCTGGAAACTGCTAGCACTGCTCGCCTCTAGGCCAGAGGCAAAGAAGAGAGTTTCTAGTCTCACACCCTGCCCCCTTGCTTGATTCCATGAATATGTCATTATAAAAAGTGGAAATAAAACCAAATGGGAGACAGCCTGACAGCTAAGAAACAGCTCACCAACAGGTGTTGCCTGTCATCTTTATTTTCCATCTTAATGAAACAGTTGTAGTTTCAGTGTTGCAAATTAGAGGAGTGGTTTGTGGCTCATGCCGTATGTGGCTGAGCAAGTGAGCGAGGGGACGCTGTACTGTGGGAGTCACCACCTCTCACACAATCTTAGCCCTTGCAGGGTACCTGGGGGCAGTTTCTAAGAGGGCATTCTGTTAAGGTGACTGGGGGTGGTGCTTGCAGCACTGAGCAGCGTGCAGAGGGCACAGGCCAGGGAGGCTAAATCCCTGTGACGCATGGGCAGTTTTGCACAATAAAGAATCATCACATTCAAAATGCCAGTAGCCCTGCTGCTGAGAGGTCCAGAGGCAACATGTCCAGTAGCCCCTTTGTCTGGGAGGCGCCTGCCTCCCTTGCACCATGTGCCCAGTGGTCAGCTAGTCCTTCCTTCACTTGAATGGAAGTTCGACATCCCATTGATTCTTGGGATGAAAAAGATCTGTTGACTTAACGGCCCCAGGTAGATTCCAAGATGGGCCTCCAGGGCCCCCTCTGCGCTCCTCCTTTGTGCTGACCCCCTCTCCCTGTGTGTTCCAGCCTGCAGATCTGCCTGGGGGACGTCATGACAAACAGAGTGGTGGATGAGGTAAAGTGCCACAGTTCCTGATGGGGGGTTGGCCCACTTCCCAAAGGCAGCCCTGGCAGATTGTCCTGGGAAATGGGGCCTTCTGTGCTGGCTGCATACACCCCATTCTTGGGGACAAGAGCTGGGTAAGGCACAGGTGGCTCCAGGGAAACCCAGGGCCTGGGTTAGAAGAAGCTTCCCTGGGAAATGTCCAGAGTGAGGATCCCAGCAGGGGATGTGCCATTGCAGGGTGGGTCTGTCCATGCTGAGTACCACTTGCCCTCCTGGAACCCGTCTGCCCACCCTCCTGCTGAGCCCATGACTGAGTGTTCCAAAAAGGGTCAGTAGCCTCTCCCTGGCCCTCTTTCTGAACTTCCCTCTCCCACCCCACCTTACAGTGGTTTGTCCTGAATGATACAAACAGTGGGCGGCTGCACCTGCGGCTAGAGTGGCTGTCACTGCTCACTGACCAGGACGCTATGACTGAGGTGAGTGCGGGATGTCACAGGCTCCCTAGCAAGAGCGGGTACAGGTACGTGCAGGCTGTGTACAGGAAGAGGCAAGGGAGGAGATGAAGCCCCTTACTTCTTGCTCAGGTCCTGGAAAACATGTCACTCAGCCCCCTCTCTCCACCCAGGGAAACCCCTAATCTCTTAGCATACAAGCTTCTAAGCATCTCAATCATGTTTAGGGAAGTCGAGGTCAAGAGCTCTGTGTCAATGCCTGTCATCCCAGGTCAACAGGGAAATCACCTTTGTGTCTAACTTGAATCTGTCATGCTGCCGTTTGTTGTATTCTTATCCTCAACAAAAAGCTAGGCCATGAGAGATCTTACAGTTGGTCTGGAGAGTAAGGGTTGGCTTCTTTTTGCTGTGTCATCTGCAAAACCAGCAGGTGTGTCCTGCTGCTGGGGACACCCAGTGAGATCCTGTTACTGTTTGTAGGACCATGGTGGCCTCTCCACTGCCATCCTTGTGGTCTTCTTGGAGAATGCCTGCAACCTGCCGGTGAGTGGTGACGTTTTCAGGGTCACACACACCCTGCTTTGTGCCTATTACTTCCAAAAGTTTACGTGTTGCTTTAACTCCATTTCTTCTGGTGCTGCAGAGAAACCCTTTCGACTACCTGAATGGTGAATATAGAGCCAAAAAACTCTCCAGGTTTGCCAGGGTAAGTGTGGATGTGCAAAGCAAGGGCAAATTACGGCCTCCCCCCACCCCAGAAAGTAACCACAGCTTATCTTCTGCACCAGTCTGTGCATACAGTCAGGGGACAACAAGGGGACCATTCCATGGATCCACCATGTACCAAGCACTGGACTAAGCAACTTGCCCCTATTTGTCATCTGAGTCCCCTGATGACTGATGTCAGTAGCTTTTATTGCCCTTTTATAAATGAGACCCAGAAGGTTATTGCCTGGGTCTGTGAGGACTGGAACATGACTTCACCATCTATTTCCATAGCCCCAGGGAATAAGGACCTGTGCTTACCAAGCCAGCTCGGGCCTCTAGTCTGTAATCAAGCCTCTCCTGAGGCCAGTCCTGTCCTGGTGCTCACATAGTAACTACTGCCCAGAGGGCCTGGGAGCACAGGGCCCTCCTCTCTCAAAGGGAAGCAGTTGGTTACCCCAGGAGCCACTGACGGGTTGGTGTCTGAAGCTGACCCTGACAGCACTACCCTGAATGCTGTGAGTTTGCCTCCTCACAGAACAAGGTCAGCAGAGACCCTTCTTCCTATGTGAAGCTGACTGTAGGCAAGAAGACGCATACAAGTAAGGTAAGACAGCGGGTGCGTAGGCCTGGGCCAAGGAAGTTGGGCCCCAGCCCTCAGGGACGGAGGCAGAAAGGAAGAAATTCCCCTACACTGAGGACTTAGTAGGCTCTTTAGTCCTCATGATAACCTCCAAAATAGTTTTATAGCTGAAGCTGAGGTCTTTCCCAAGAGCAATTGTACAAAGCAGCAGAATTGGGGTTCAAGCTTGGCCTGGCCCTACAGCCTGTGTCCTTTATCCCAGCACCAGGAATTCTGTCAGCTCTGGGCTCAGTGAGCCTTCATGATATGAGTTTTTAGTCCCCATACTTCCCTGCAGAGCACTGTCAGCATTTTGAATCTGGCTGTGTGGTCCTTGTGCAGTCCCCCACTAAAGCATGTAATATCTGATCTCTGGGGCCAGACTGAAAGCAGCAGGTACCAGTATCTGTGCTCTCTCCTCCTTCTGTTCCCAGATCTGTCCCCACAGCAAGGACCCGGTGTGGAGCCAGGTGTTCTCCTTCTTTGTGCACAGTGTGGCAGCTGAGCACCTCCGCCTGAAGGTGTGCTTGAAGCTGGGCTCCTAGAACACAGTTAAGAGGTTGTGAGTCTGACATGCGCATCCAGCGGTTCTGGCAGTGAGTCAGGGCCTATGAGGGAGAGGAGACTGAGGCCCCCCAAGGCCTTGTCTCCTCCTCCAGACGGGTGCCTAAGGTCATTGTGGAGGAGGTTGTCCCTACACAAGGGTCTTTATAGTTGTTACAAAGTAGCTTTAGACTATACTCAGGACATTGATAATGGCAGATTTCAATTTTTTTTTCATTTAATCTTTACAAAAGATCTGGGGAAGAGAGTCTTTATTTCATTTATTTCACCCATGAGGAGATAGAGGCTAAATCAATGATTTGCCCAAGATTTCATGGACAAGAAATTGAGGAGCTGAGGGATTTGGGGCCCTGCTTGGACAGTCCATTGTGGAGCAGCTCAGCCCATGGTCTCTAAAGCCCGATGGCCCTGGCCACTTGACTAGCTCGGAGCACTTGCAGGCAGAGACCAGATGCCAGTAGCTACCCAGCTCAGACTTAGTCATGGTATAGGTGGATTTAGTTCCCCCTCTAACTGGCCCAGGTGCTAGATGATGACCAGGAGTGCGCTCTGGGAGTGCTGGAGTTCCCGCTATGCCAGATCCTCCCCTACGCTGACCTCACCCTGGAGCAGCGCTTTCAGCTGGACCACTCTGGCCTGGACAGTCTCATCTCCATGAGGCTGGTGCTTCGGGTAAGCCCCTCGGCCTGGGGGATGGGGGTGGAGCAAGGTGAACTGTCCCAGCATGAAGAAACTACTCTGTGCTGAAGATGCCAGGAAATGGATTTGGTTTTCATCTCTTGGAATATTGTCAGCTGATATTCCTTCAAATACTGCCTCTTCCCTATTTTTCAGTCCCTCCTAGAACTTCTGCATTGAACCTTTACAGCTATCCTCCGTAACCCTTGTTCTCATCTTCTCTTTCCCATCTCATAGTGCTACATTCTACCTTCTTGATCACAAATTTTCTTTGGCTATGCCTAGTTTACTGTTCGACCTGTTTATTTCAGTGGTGAGTTTTCTAATTTTCTCTTCCAAATCTACCTTTTTTTAATTGTATTTTATCTTTGTGTCTATATTCCATCTTTGGTCATTGGCAAACATTGTTCATTCTATCATCTGGAAGGTCTGGGACACTGATCTGCTGCTACATTTCCATGATGACTCATTTCTCTAATTGACAATGGCCTGCATTAAGGCTGGCTGTTCCTCCCAAGGAAGTTTTGTTGCCACTGGGTACCTCAGAAGCATTACAAGTCTGGATTCATTTGTTATTTTCTTTACTTTGGGTATCAAAACCCATGGGTAAAATAAATGAACTCAAAATAAATCTGAGGACAGGCCAATAAGTTATAACTCCTCTACCACCCTACCAAAAAAACAAAAACCTAGAGTATATTATTATTATTCTACCTTTTTCACAGAAACCACCTTCAGGATCTCACATTGACCCAAGGAAAGCTTAACTTTTGTATTTCACTTTTCACTGTCTTTTTCACTTAAAGAATTACTTAATAAATTTGGCTATGCATTTAAAAGGATGTTTCGTTTTATTCTGGCATAATGGCTTTTCAGCATATTTGGATTACCATGTTTATTTCTGGAAATGGAATTCCCTAGGGTCTTGATGATGAGGGGAAGGAGAAACACAATAGCTGAAGTTGATTGGTAGGCCCAGCCATAACCATCTTATCATCTGCTTCTAGTTCTTGCGTGTGGAGGAACGGGAGCTGGGGAGCCCCTACACAGGAGCCGAAGCCCTAAAGAAAGGCCCTCTGTTCATCAAGAAGGTGGCCACCGACCACAGTCCCAATGCCCCAGCCCAAGGAGAAGGCCCTACAGATCTGCCACGTCCCCCAGACCCTTCTTCAAACACCAAGGAGGCACCCAAGAACGCCACAACCACCACCAGTGCTGTCCCCGAGCCCCAAGAGACAGGCCCAGAGCCCAAAGGCAAGGACAGTGCCAAAGGGCTCTGTGAGCCCCCGGGGAAGAAGAAGAGCTCAACCACCGTCTTCTTGACTGTCCCAGGCCCCCACTCTCCGGGGCCCATCAAGTCACCCAGGCCCATGAAATGTCCTACCTCCCCATTCGCATGGCCACCCACAGGACTAGCTCCCAGCATGTCCTCGCTCAACTCCCTGGCCTCTTCCTGCTTTGACCTGACAGATAACAGCCTCTACATTGAGTATGCACCTCTGCTTAATCTCTTCTAAAATCACCTGCATGAAAAGTATCTCCCTGGATGGAAGAGTAGATATGAACTTACACACCTGTGCAAATTCTGGTTTTCCACAAAACATCTATATTAGAGGCAGCATGACACAGGGCATGAACCAGTTATGGCTCTAGTTACTCTAACTGGATGCTGGCCTGCAGTTGTTAAGGACCCTTCCAGCAGAAACATTTCCTGAATTCTAAAGAGTCACACTGGGATGATACAAAAAGCATGAAGTACAGAATTACGTAACTGGTAGTCACTTACTCTTTACCATGGCCTTATTTTATGAGATTAATTCAATCTTCACAATAGCCCCACAAGATAGAACTTACCACCATAAAAGTAACATTTACCAACGTCCCCTAGGAATCATGACAAAGGCAGAGACACTCCAGGGTTCATGCTCTTCCTACTGCAAAGTAGGATAAATGTTGACGCTAGATGGAACATTCCTGAGATTATGAACCTACATGGCTCTGTGTTCCCCAACTAGGACATGTATCTCTGTCTTAGGGGAGAGGGCCAACACTTTAATGATAAGAGAGGTGACAAACCCTTTCTTCACAGAGGTGGGGACTGCGGACAGCGGCGGCTTGGCGAGATTCAGCTTACGGTTCGCTACGTGTGTCTGCGGCGCTGCCTCAGGGTGCTCATCAACAGATGCAGGTAAGAGGGTTCTTTAGAGGCATCAGGTGGCCACAAACTAAAGTGGGGGCCAGGATGTGAGGTTCCCAGGTGGAAAAGTAACATATTGGGAAGAAATGAGAATTGAAGGCTTGTGTGCCATGAATGAAGAGAATCCTCAAAAGAGCACTTGGATGGTCATTCTTTGGGGCTGATGGTCTCAGAGGTTTGCTCGGACATTACTACAAAACTGTCTGGGGGTGACTGATAGCCAGAATAATTCCCTTGGATACAGAGTACTTGCTGTACCCCAAATACAAAAATTCAGATTTTAAAAATACACCTGGTATCTTGTCCTCTAAATGCCTCTATCCTGGCCATCCAAGCTGAGCGGCCAGTACGCTTTCTCCCAAATGAGTCTTTTCAGGGGCCTCTCTTCTCTACAAATCAGAAACCTGACGCCGTGCACCAGTAGTGGGGCAGATCCCTATGTCCGCATCTACTTGCTGCCAGAAAGGAGGTGGGCAAGTCGGAAGAAGACCTCGGTGAAGAGGAAGACCCTGGAACCTCTGTTTGATGAGACGTGAGTGGGCCCTCAGCCATCCTAGAGTGCCTCATCCACTTGCGTATTGTCTGTGTCCCAGGCACCCTGTGAGGGCTGGGCAATACAACATGGTATGACTCCATGAAGCTTTCGTATGCTTTCTAGCAGGGAAAGGACAACATGGGCCATTTATCACAAAGGCTGCCCTGAGAGAATGAAGCATTCCTGATTATTGAATGTTCTACAATACCTTTATTTTTTTAATGTACTGAAGGTGGAACCCAGTGCCTCAAGCATGCGAGGCAATTGCTCAACCAGTGGGCTACAACCCCCCTCTTTAAATGAGGTCTTTTTAATAAGATTTAAATCCTTTTACTGGCAAATAAGTATTCCGGGGCGGGGGGCATTTTTAACTGCATGCTAGCTAGACCTAATGTTTCCTCCAGAACTCTTTGGCTTCTCTTCCCTCCTGCAAACAGCAGAGGTGTTAGATGAAGGACTCCTCCACTCATGTTCCTGGGGACAGAAGAGATTAGGTAGACTCTAATCATGTTTCTTACGTTTGATGGGGTAGTAGCAGCAAGTCTGATTTCAAGTATTTTTATTCTTGATAATCCTCAAGGTACTAAAACCAAAATGTCTTGTTTGCTTCAGAATCCTGAGAAAAGCCATTTCTAGCCAGCTTAGGAAGATGCTGTAACCTCTTAATTATGATTCCCTCTATTCCTGATCAATAACTACTCATTTAAGAGGACTGAGTTCTCTTTGGGCCATGTTAAAGATCCATACTTTGAGTTCATCAGTAGAGCCACAAAAGTAAGAGATTTTGATACAATTATAGAAGGATGTCATAATTGCTACATAGGAATATAGAAAAGACTTGACTTTTAAAACAATCATTAGTAAATTTCCTAAAATTATGCCTGGATTATCTAAAAGGCAGACTTGGCACTCTGCCCTAAAATTAATCTAGAAGTAAGGGCTCTCTTAGGATTACAAAGTTCATATATAGACTCCTCTGCCCTACTCTACAGTCACTATTTTACATGTAGCTTGAAAAACCTAACTCTTAAGCAACCTATCCCTTAGATGGTCTGAGCAAACAACTTGGAAAGAGGTTGAGCAGGTTCAGAGTCGGGAAAGGCAACTAAGAGTAAAGCCAAAGTAGAATTAGACAAATGGGTCATAAACTCCAAACCACAGTAGTCTGAAAGGCACACAGCCTCAGAACACTTCCAGGATTCTGATTACCTGTGCACTGAATACCTAGGAACCAATATGCTCCTCATAGTCTACCGCTCCACTAGGGAAGTAGATAAAACACTTCAGATTTTCAACAAAAATGACTTTTTTTTTTCTTCCTAAAGATTTGAATTTTTTGTTCCCATGGAAGAAGTAAAGAAGAGGTCACTCGATGTTGCAGTAAAAAATAGTAGGCCACTTGGCTCACACAGAAGGAAAGAGTTAGGAAAAGTAAGTACAAGAAGGGTTCTTGGTACTATGTTCCTTCCAGTACTCTAACTCAAGTCCACTGAAATTAAATTATATAGAAATATAAATTCATATGATAAAACCTATTTTAATAAGAATCTATCAAACTCAGTACTACCCAAGAATTTGAACATCAAGTACTGTGATAAGATCCAAGCTTTGCACAATATATTTACCTAAAGTGGAAGAAATATACTCCCTAGGACTATGCCAAGGAAAGGCCCCCAAAATGGTACGTGTACAGTATTTCATAGTGTTACATTCAAATAAGTACCCTATACTCACCTCTTTAGAGGCCAATTCTATAAAGTAGATGGTATTATCTTCATTTTTACAGATGAGGCAGGTTTTTTTTATAAATTTATATAAACTTGAAAACATGATCTGAAATTCCTAAAGTACAGGCACTTGTCTTTCCCCAGGACAGTAAGTTCACTGTATTATTCCTCTAAGGTCCATTTTGAACACCTAAGAGCCCAAGGAAATTTTATGAAGGACTCATGCAGTGTTTTTGGAGGGAAATAATTATTTGCGGTTGTTTAGGTGCTGATAGACTTATCAAAAGAAGATCTGATTAAGGGCTTCTCACAATGGTGAGTATGCTCTTTCATTTATCACTGTTCATCTGTTCTTCAAGACACTGTCTCAGCTGCCCACTCTCTCTCCAAAGTTCTTCCCTTTTCAGTATCAAGAAAAGAGACAAACTACTAACACCTTTACTTCAGGCTTCACTAACTCCATGTCTCATTAACCTATAAGACCCCTGTTAACTACCCTTATTCTTGGCTGGCCAACTTGGAGAGAGTTGCTCTGTAGAGGCCAACGCCGTTAGTAATGAGCAGGTATTGTGGACCTAATACAAGTACAAACCCAACTGCCTTGCAGGTATGAGCTGACTCCAGCTGGACAGCCCAGAAGCTGAGGATGAGTAACAACATTGCCGATGTGTCAGAATGTGTGTATATATGTACAGTTTGCCATTTGATGAAAGTAAATACTGTGTTAAATTTATCTGCATGGCCAAACAGTATTAGGAAGAAACAGGAATTATGGAAAGAACTACAATTGGATTTGTTCAAATCCAGAAAGAAATGGGGATATTTGTTTCTAATTAGCATCAAAACCTCAGTAGTGATTTTTTTCCACTTTTGGTGGATAATTATGCATATCTGATTTAGGTCTTGCTAGAAAGTGTCCTATCCCTAACATATAGGCTGGAAGAAGTCCTAAAGGAGCTACCAGTATTCCTGGGCAGTTATTGACCAAGAGAGTACACTTTTCTGGATATAAAAAGTGACCCCAAACTGCCAAGAGCTAGCACTGCCAAAGCCCTGTTTGTAATTTGTGTGCCTGGACCTGTGACTCTGTGTCACAGTGATATACCTAAGTACTCTGGTGGCGGGGAACCTAGGGCCAAGTTCCAAACCTAGGTCTGAGTCTGAACTTTCCTAGCAGAGTGCCAAAGGCTGCTGAGGAATGGCACTGCCAAAGGAAAAGGAGCTTTTTGTATCTCAGACAAGTTTGGGAATTCTGTTCTACCATTCCAAGAGAGGGGTAGTTTACTTAAATAACACATTAAAAGCAAAATATGTAAATTGTCTACTTAAACAAGTGCCTCTTATGCATTTCAAACTCTGTAAGACCACATAGACTTGCCTTGATATTCTTAGAGCAGTTGTCAAGGTCACATCCTCTTCTCTGTTAACTCAGGCGATCACATAATTTATAAGTAATATGATAAACTATTTTTTATAAAAATCAAAGCCTACCCCTTAATTTGCCTTTTAAACCTAATCTGATTTCAGCTACATTATCCTGAGCAAATAGTCTGTTAACTGAGTCATCCAAACATTATGCCCCTCAAACTTCTCTCCTCCACTAAGCCAGCCCATGCTGAAAGGGCCTCTTTCCACCAACTATCTAACATTTTTCATTGTAACAGTAAACTAAAAATGTTTACCAAGTATCTTATTAAGCAACTGTCAATGAAACTGTTTCAGTTTCACTGAAACTGAACTTTAAGCTACTTGGTTTTTCACCCTCTTCTTAAGACTGTTAAGTATATATACAATAAAAATTGGTTTCCGCTGAGATTTCTATTTTTGAATGAAAAATTTTCATAATATGAGAAACGATGTCGATGCTGTCTACTTCATGACATTGTAATTGTTCCCTAAATAAACAAGTATCTTAAATGGTAAAGCACCAAGTAGTATAAGGGAATGTATCATTACATGTTAAATATTAGAATCACTAAAGCAACTACTGATCAAGGTGGCAGAGAAATTAAAGCTTACTCTTCTTCCTAACAGGTAAAATTCTGCATGATGATCGGAAAAGCAAAGTAGTACAGAATCAAGGATGAGTTAAAGGAAATCAGAATTGTTAGCTTATGTCAGACAGGAGGCAAGTCTATGGGCCCTATGTGAGAGGGTAAAGAGCCTGAAAAGTTATGTCTCATCAGAAGACAGACGCCAATTAGCACAGGAACATAAGGTCTGAAATTACATACCACCAACTTGGTGTAGAAATCCCCAAGACTAAAAAATTGGTTTAGAATCTTGAGTCCTGATAAGATCATATTAAATCAACCACAAAACTGGTCCTTAAGGTTGCCCTTCACATCCAGGGAGACTGATACAGCAGATTTGTCACTTAAAAGGAAGCTCACAAGCAAAAATTATGAAACAAAACGCGGATAAAACTAGTAACTGGACACAAGAAGGAAAATGTCATTAGGGCAGAAGTGGCTATAGGGGAGCAAAAATACCTGTAAGTAGTTGGTAAACCTAAGTCTTGATTACTTTTTTTTTTAAAGTGTTAATTTGCTTTCCATTACTTTAACCACCTGAGATAATCAGCTCTTAAAAAGTTCATCTAGGCACACAGCTCGAGGTTTCAGCCCATGATTGCCCTGTGGGGCACGTGGCCAAGCTACTCACTTCATTGTTTGGACATGATAATAAGAGGCTGGGGTCTCAGTACCCCCTTCAAGGACACATTCCCAAACTGGAAGACTAAGAGGTAGAGCCCAGTGAGAAATTCCAGCATCTCCCAAATAGTGCCACAGGCCTGGAACCACACCTTTTACACGTGGACCTTTGGGACTTTTACACAAAATATAGCAATAAGCAACCAAAGACTTTTTTTTTTTTAGTTCCACTGTTTTCTAACACCTGGCTGGTAATTTAGTGTCCAAATCCTTATTTAGGGAGCTAAAGGGATTTATAATTGGTTCTAAAAATATAAAACCAAGTGTGGGTTAGACACTGACTTATTACCTTCAGCTTCAAATCAAAGTCTCTGCCCAGGGTCTTTCTGCTGGGCTTTTCCAAAAGCAATGGAAGGACACTGCGAGGCTGGAGCAGCTCCTCTGCCGAGGTAGGTTCTCCAGGGTTCTGCCGACCTAGGAGCATGTTCTCGTTCACCTCATTACCCCTCACAGTTCAGCCCTGGTTCCTGCCCTCATGTTCCACCACCACTTGCAAGTTTCTTGGCCAAGAGGGCTACATGCTCCTGTGACAGCTCCACCTCTCCGCTATGGTTTAAACTGGCCTGGTGAGGAGGTGCTTATCCTTTTTTTTTGTACCCTCTCCCTTGGCCCTATGGAGTGGTCTACTTTCCAAAGATGCTACAGTGTGTCCAAGAGTATTCTCTTACCTCCTTTTAAATAGTTAGCCACCTTTTAGTAAATTTTTCATGTTTAGTTACCTGTGCAATGTGGTTTCTCTCAAATGACAATGTTAAAATTTTTAACCAAGAACATAAAGTAACAGAAAACCCACCAAGTTGAAATATAAAACTTCCAAATCAATAGTAAAAAAGCAAAATTAACCCCCTCCCCAATAGTGGGGAGGAAAGCACAGAAAATGTGATAGAGCGAATATAAAAAAGATGGCCAAAGGGCTTCTATAAATGTAATCACAATACACTGTTAAAACTAGAATATCAGGGGCTGGGGTTGTGGCTCAGTGGTAGAGCACTTACCTAGCATGTCAGAGGCACTGGGTTTGATTCTCAGCACCACATAAATAAAATATTGTGTCCTAAAACTAAAAAAAAAAAAAATTTATAAAATCTAGAATACCAAAGAGCATGAAAGTAAAAGGCATCGCTATATATGCTGTTTCCAAAAGCTCAAACATACAAATGTATAAGTAAAAAGATACACCCAAGAATACTTACTATTCATATAAACAGAAATCTTAATATTACATTAAGAAAAAGCTGCTTCCTATCACTTCTAGTCAACACTATTGTAGCCCATGTTAAAAAAAGTCAAAACTGTTAAATATTTGTATTTAAATATTGCCAAATCACATAACCAACAAGGCTTGTTCACATTGTTATCCAAATAAATGGTATTGCTTCAAGTTGTTCAGTGCCTAGCCCATGTGGCTACACAGGCCTTTCCCCCTCTGATCCAGAAATTTAAATTCTAAAAACTCTAGAAAACTTACATATAAATACAGGTGATGATATGAACATTAGATGCAAAATAAATTGCTAGAATTAGAATTTTTTTTTAAAGCAAGGTTGATGGATACAAAATTTTTTTAAATCAATTTTAGTTCTTTATTCCCTCACCAATATGAAAATGGTAATTTCATATAACCACCTCTATATGAAAATTATGCAACTTTTAAAATCAGAGACTAAACAAATGGAAAGCTATGCCATATTTGAAGACCCAACATTCTCCCATGCTAATTTGTTTTTAATGAAAGCTCATTAAAAATCCAAAGGTTGTATGTAGGTAGCTTTGTAGATTCAATGTACATAGAAATCCAAGGGCTGGGAAGTCTTCAGCAGTATGACAAAGTTTACTTTAAAGCCATATAATAACTAAAACAAGGTGGTAGTAGTACAGGAAGAGACAAATGGACCAAAACAATAGAAAAGCCCAACAACCGTAGTTGTAGTAGTAGTCTATGACAGAGGCACCACTATGAACGATGGGAAAGGTCAGACTTGTCACTAAATGGTGCTGGCACAACTGGATATGCATTTGGGAAAATATGAACTAGTCTTTTACTCTTGCCACATTCAAATATTAATCAACTTTAGGTTTAAACGTGAAAGGAAAACTTATGTTGTAATATGGAAGAATAACTTCACAATTTAAGACCAGAGCAAATTTTCATAAGCCACAAAGAACACTACCTATAAAGACCATATCTTTCTCTACATTAAAATTAATGTTGCTCAGTGGCTGAGTACTCCTAAGTTCAATTCCCAGTATCACCTACCCCCCAAATTGTTATTCTGTGCATTGAAAGAAACCAGAAATGAAAAGACAGGACACAGAATGGAAGAAGACATTTATACACACATAACTGCCTGATGGCTCATGTCCAGAATAATAGCTCTTTACAATTTACTCAGAAAAACAAAATCTAATAGTTAAATGGGCTAAAGGCACAAATGCTTCGAAAAGAAATAGAAATGTCCAATAAGTAAATAAAAGATACTCCTAATCAGGGAAACAAAAATACAATAGCTCTCCAACTATAGTGGCAAAAAGGATGTTGAAAATAGGGATTTTCATACATTGTACCAATTTATACTCCTCATGAGCATTTTCTTCTAAAGTTACACATTCTCTATCAAAGTCATCTTGTATAACTCTAAAGACTCCATTCATATTGATATCCACAGAAATGGTATTGCCTCAGGTTATATGGTACTTAGCACATGTGGCTACACATACAAGCAACTTCCCCCAAGATCCCAGCAATTTTAGTTGGATGTATACTCTAGAAAGCTTGCATAAAAGGGTACAAGGATGTAGACTCATAGCAGCACTGCTCAGAATAGCTAAGAAGTGGAAGCCACCAAAAGTCAACCACCAGTATTACAGAAAAAATGAGTCAGAGAATACTCATAGGTAGAATAATTCTATAGCAATCAAAACACGACTGAACCTAGCACACAACACAGATGCACTGTACAATCATAATACTGAAGAAATGTTGAGAGGACAATTTTGATTTTTATAAAAACTAAATTATATTGATTTAGGCATCACATAGAAATGGTAAGACTAGTTTTATAAGACCAAAGAGGTGATTAACATTAAAGTCAGGATAATGGTGATCTCCATAGGAAGGGACATTTAAGGTGGGTTGAGAGGGCTATCTGGAGTGCTAGAGATGTTTTACTTTTTGGTTGTCATATGGGTATTCACTTTATATCATTCATTATCCTTGACATTAATGATATTTTGTAATTAAAAAGGTCAGTAAAACATATGAAAAGGAAAATAAAGAAGAAGAAATACCTAGTAAGAAAAAAATATATATTCAAGGCAATAAACATGAGTAGCAATAGGAGGTATATTAGGATGATAAAATAATTTAACAAGTTTATAGACATTTTAGTAACTCCTAGAAGCCAACAAACCAAGCAGACAAAAAAACTGTTAGAAATGTAATAAATATCACAATAGCACAACATGTATATAACAGATTAGATTTTTTTAAAAAGAATATATGGAGCATTATGAAAATTTGTCTAAAGTCAAAAACCTCAAATCCTAAAGACTTAATACCAAAAAGATATTCTGACTATAATGCAGTAAAATCAGGAGGGGAAAAAAAGGGACTGGGTAGATTCAGTGGTAGAAACCATGCTTATTATGTGCAAGGTGCTAGATTTGATCCCTAGCACCAAAATAAAAAAAAAAAATTTTAAGAACAACCCTAGAAATTCTACATATTTCAGACTTCAAGTTATACTTCTAACTTCTGCTTCTAGCCAGGATGGAGTAATATAAACCAAATTTACCCTTCTACCTACAATAGCCAAACCCAAACAAAATATAAAACAGAATTGAATGTCAGGAGTATGTCCATATGAACATGAATGTTCAGAGCAGTTTTATTTTAGTCAAAAATTGGAAATAACCCAAATTTCCATTATTAAGTGAATGAACAAATGGATGACAGAATACTACATAGTGATAAGGAATGAACTAATACAAGCAAAAAAAAAATCTCAAAATAATTATGCTGAAAGATGCCAGACTAAGAGTATGTAAGATTCTATTTATATAAAAATATATAAAATGCAAACTCATTTATAGTGATGGAAAGCTGACCAAATAACTACTTCCTGGAGATTGGAGGAATTGGGAAGGATTAGCAAGGATAGTAAGAAAATTTTGGAGTGCTAGTATATCTATCATTTTGATTGTGGTGATGATTTCACAAGTATATATGCACATCAAAACTTGCCAAATTTACACTTTAAAGTTTCTACCACTGAGGCTCTGGGTTCAGTCCCCAGGACCACATAAAAAAACTAAAGGTATTGTGAACATCAACTAAAAAATTTTTTTAAAAAACAGTTTATATGTCAATTACACATCAATAAAACTTAAAATCAATTTTGGTATTTTAAATGTTTATATTTAAATATTGCTAAATAATTAACTTTGCTATTTATAGTTTGAATAATTAAAAAATGCATAAAGTAGATACAATGAGAAGGCCTAAAACTATTCCTATTAGTGTCACTATCCCTTCCCAGTGGTCCTTGAGGCACTTCCAAATAAAAACCCTAGGCTTCTAGAGAAAATTTTGAAAACTTATGTTTTAAACTAAGAGTTATTCACAGGCTCTTAAATCAGGTGCCAGATTAAAATGATTTATTATCCTGGCATGGCGGCACACACCAGTAATCCCAGCTTCTCAGGAGGTTAGAGTAGGAGAATGGCAAATTAGAAGACAGCCTAGGCAACTTAGTGAGAAACAAACAAAAAAATGTCTCGTGGCAATTTCTTTGAATAATCAATTCAGAGTATTTACATCATTGAATATCCAAATACTTTTCTACTTAACCTCAAGACATGTTCTACGAATTCTGGATAGTTTTAATTTTAGAAGAATCTAAGTTATTGTCTATGCCTGATCCCTAAACCTAATGTCACAACACCAGGGATTTGGATGCTGTCTATGGACATTTTTTCTCCATTCCACTCTGCTGCTTCCTGAATATGTTTTATAATAATATACCAAGCAATAAAAATAACAGAAATCCTCCTAGGCCTGCTGCTTGTGGAGAGGAGATGGAGGGTAGGTGGAAGTGGCCCACACTCATGGATGTGATGCAGAACACTGGCCCCTGAAGCAAAGCAGGTTGAAAGTTGGGAATAGAGAATAAGCAGAAAGCACAAGAACAATACTCTTATGTAAAATGCAGCAAAGGTGAAGGAGTTGCCCAAGGAAGGCTGAGCTTATGAAAATGAATGACTCATTATTTGTAATACAAATAAGTCACTGAGGACACTTATGTTTGGAAATTCTTTACAAAAATTTTATTTGAGATCTCATGTCCTTATAAAAAGTACATTACATTAAAATTTTAAAAAATACTTTTTTAAAAAAAAATGTGAGGGACTTCTATTGACTCACCTATTTTATTTTACCCCCATGATTTACTTCCTATTCTAACACTAAGATATAACATTTTTTTCTTCCTCCTGCTTTGAAAGGGCAACTACCATGAGGGATATCTTAGTAAAATGCAAATTAATCATTTCCAGGAGAGCAGTAGCTTCCTACTGGCTGGCCATAGAAAGCAAATGGTATTCCTTTTGCCCTGAACCAAAGGTCATTAAACCTTCAACTTAATTGAAACTTTTCTATTATTTGCAATTTCTCTCCCTGGGTGTCTCTTTTACTTATAAACTCTACCTTAAAATAACCTTAAAATTTAAGCATCAAGTGTTTTTAAGAAATGATTAAAGGATCTCAAATTAAGTTACTGCTTTAATAACTTAGCAGCTATTTTCTATGAAAGAATCTTAATATTGGGTCATTCTCCAGTACTAAGATTTCTGAGAACAAATACATTTTATAACCCTTATGACAAAATAAGATCAATTCTACAAAATACTTAGAATGTTAAGAATGCAATTTACACAGTAAAAATGATTTGATTTGTTTTCAGTAAGAAAGTACTTTTAATTTCTTTACTGCAGGTACAATGGCATCCAAGTCATCAATTTCTGTAACAGAAAAACAATAATAATAAAGCAGAGTAACTTTCTAGTGATCAGTTCAGGGGAAATGAGAACTCTATGCAGAAACAAACCTCAAGCAAAAAGACAATACTGGTGCTTTCATGCACATCATGGTGACACATTATCACGGATTCAGAGACAGATGCTAAACAGTGCATCTGTTTATAAAAGCTACCACATACTCACTCTCTGACTCTGGCTCTTGCTACACATCCAACTGGTCACATTTATGATGTGTAGTGCCTCTTTAGACCTAATTACACAGTGAAATCGCAGGTAGCAGCATTTCTGTACTAGGGTCTTCACCTGAAGTCCTAGGAAATTCTTCTCATAAAACACAGTGCCCTTGGGCTAAGGTTGTGGCTCAGTGGGATAGCACTAGCCTAGTAGTTGTGAGGTACTGAATTCAAGTGTCAGCACCACATAAAAAATTAAAGATATTGTGTCCATTTATAATTAAAGATATTAAACACACACACACAGAGACACACAATGCTCCTCTGATTCTCTTAGGAAGAGCTCTCATTAGTGGAATCACTCATAGGCCTACCTTGCCAGGTGTGAGAGTCCTTAGCTGGTCTGGCTTCCCAGATAAACCAGTTCAGTTTCTTCTCTGACAGATTTTTCTAAATTTGATTCCTCTTTCTTAACCTATCTTACTCCAGCCAGCTGAAGTTACAATTCATTCTCTTAAGCTCCTAGCTATGGAGAAAGCAAAGTCCCTTTTTCTCATTATCCAGACTTCAGCCTTCCTTAAAGTAAGCCCTAAGGGCAGGTTTATAGATACCCACTACTTTTTTCTGACTTATTCTGCCATGAATTCTTGGAATCCAACTCTTTCTCTCCATTGTTTTAGCTAGATTTTGGTTGCTCTTGCTTTAGCCTTAACACCTGACCCATGCTGACCCACTGTCATGAGTTCCATAAGCTTCTGACTTCAGTCAGAATCCCTGTCTGGGCTCACAAAGCATCAAGCATACAGGAAGGGGGACAGTGTAATCCAGCCTGCTGCAGAGAATTTGATTCACACCTTACATTGTGGTAAATAAAGGTCCCAAAATCAAGTTATTCCCAGACCTTCCCTGACCCCCATCCATTCTGAAATCATATCTCTTTTCTCATTAAATGAGAAACCTGCCTTATAAATGAACCTCACAGACAAAGACCTTGATTGATATGGAAATTTTCTCAGCCAAGTATACCACTTACATAAGCATAGAAACTAAAATTTATTGAAGGGTAGTCTCCCTATCTGATATCCAATACACCACTAGATACTTAATGACATTTAGTAATTTAAAATCCAGTCACATTTTGCCAAAGTTCCCCAATGTTAAATATTTAACTCCAGAATTTCAACTTCAAACCAAATACAAAATTCCTCCGCAAGAACCTTGAACTTTCTTGCAAATATATGTACTATGTTGAATGTAATAACATCTGAGACAAAGGTAATAAAGGATCTTATTTCAAGTGTTGCAAGCACACTCACTAAAATATTTATTAATTTGCAAAGTAGTACTTATTAATTAATAAGAACATCACTGTTGAATTTAATGGCCCTCCTGAAGCAAGTAGAATCACTGCAGGAAACCAGTCTCTTCAGGATTCTAGACAACACACTTGTACAATTTCATAACCCATCTTTTTAAAAATTTTTTTAGTTGTAAATGGACACAATATTTTTATTTTGTTTTATTTATTTTTATGTGGTACTGAGGATTGAACCCAGTGTACCTTAAGCATGCTAGATGAGTGCTTTACCACTGAGCCATAACCTCACCCTCATGACTCATCTGAAGTTTAGCTTTCAAGTAATATTTTCACTTGCTAGGAGCTTCAAAGCATATAGAAAATGTCTAAAGGACACTCATTCTTTGTTTCCCTTGAGTCCACATAACACCAGTCACAAAACTTCCTTTATGTTCTCTAGGCTACACACTGCAGTAAGATATTTCTTTTATTTATTCATTTTCTTACCAAATCTGAATTTAATCATTTCCTAATCTTCCTACCAAGTCTCATTTCTGCTTCTGAAAATTGAGGAATCATTCTTTAAAATCCTTTCAAATGAGCTAAACAAAAAATTTGCTAGTGAATAAATCACTTTAAACTTTGAAAATTGTTCTTAAGATAAATTAACTTTACAGCCATGTTAAAATAAGAGTCTCTTTTGCCTATGATCCCTAAGCAAATACATTTTTTCCCCTTTAACAGATACTGAAGCTCTCAATCTGACCAACAGTACAGATGCCATACTTAAGTCTCTTCCTTTCTATAGACATTCACTACTTTACATTACTTCATATCATCTGAGAAGAAAACTTTGTGTACTCTTAAAGCTGTGCCACCTTTAAAACAAACAAAAAGAGGGGGAGGAGGAAAGGCCTTTCAAGATCAAATTCTGCCATATGCAGTGGTGCACACCTGTAATCCCAGTGACTTGGGAGGGTGAGGCAGGAGGACCATGAGTTCAAAGCCAGTCTCGGCAACTTAGCAAGGCCCTAAGCAACTTAGCGAGACCCCATCTCAAAATAAAAATTAAAAAGGGATGGGGATGTGGCTCAGTGTTTAAGCACCCCTGGGTTCAATCCCCTGTGAGGGGCGGGGGGAAATAATAAATTCTGCTAAGATTTCTTATTAGGCAATGGCAGAGCCAGGGTTAAACTGGGCCTGGCCAGAGTAATGCCATTTTTTATAACATCCCAAAACAAGGCAGTTCTAATCTCCTTATAGGCTCTGTGCTGCTCTATTCTGTGGACTAATTCCAAATGACTCTAACTTCGAGTAAGGAGCATGTTTCCACAACTATTAGTGGTTTACAGACACTTCTATCAAACATTCAAGGTAAAAACACCAATCCAGTAACTAAAGAACACTTTTCTCTCAAACCCACTGACATCTTAAAGACTCAAAATTTAACTATTACCAACGGAGTTCTTACCTAGGATTTCAAGTAGATCATTAGTAAATGCCTGAAATGCTGGGAAAAATTCCTCATGTTCTTCCAATTTGTTGATAATGCTGTTTAAAAAATGCAAAGTTATGTCAAATTTCCAACTTTGGGTTCTTAACATCTGATTGCAAGCCAATGGTTGCAAAAAGAACATCTTCAAAGTGGAAAGAGACTATCCTAATTTAAATATAAACTTAATAATCATTCACTACAATATTTTCTATTTTTGCTTTTCATTGACCTAATATCAATGTCCTTTAAGAAAACATCATCTGTTTAATTACATCATATTCTTGACATGGCAAACTTTCCATTTAGCTCAAGCCTTCTTTAGAGAACCATGCTTTTATTGCATTTTCTAACAGGCTTTTATGCTCAGTATCCTATTAAACATAAAGATAAAAGTATCAGTAGTGAGTAAAACCATGGGTAGAGAGAAAAAGACAAATAATGGGATATATGTTCCTTTTAAAAGCATTAAATATCAAAAACTCAAGTGTCAGATTTTATAAGGGTTCTTCCTGGAAAACATACAGGACATAAGAAATACGTGGAATATGTTGTTTCCTTTTCAATCTGTTGCAGTATAAAATTGGGGGTGAAGGCTGGGAAAAGTTGTCTTAAGCTACATCTCAATTTTGGAGGGGTATTATTGGGGATTAACCCAGGGTCTCATGCATGCTAAGCATACAACCCACCACTGAGCTACATCCCGAATCCCTCAATATTTTTTAAAAACAGTAGGTTTTATATTAGCAATGCCCATTTACTGTCTAATCAAATAATTAATAAATAACATTTACTGTCTAATCAAATAATTAATAAATAACCTGTTAGTAATTATTTGGTGGTATTTGGTAGTATCCTAAAAACAAGACTTGTTGATATGATCTAACTATGATCATGGTAGAACTCACTGGATCTACCATAAACAATAGGTATTCAACTTTAAAACCTTCATTTTCATCTGCTTCTTTAAATTATGCCAAGACATCAATTCTGTAGGCAGTATTCAAGAACTTACACAAATCCTTTATAACAAAAAAACTACATGTTATTACAGATTTTAATAGTTTCTACAGTGGCTAAAACGGTTTGAATTTTTCCACATACAACTTTCCCTGGGAACAGGCTTATGCTGAAGAGTTTCTTACCCAACCTATGTAAACTTACAGGCCCAGCAACTTATTTCTGTCTTGAAAATACTTGGCATTTTCTCCATCCCTAAAGGTGTGGGCTATGTTAGGTTGTCAAGTTACTTAACAAGTGCCATTCCAAAGAGGGAAGGTAAATAAGTTAGGAACTTTTGAATGTCTTTAATTTCATCACTCCAAGAATTCTGGATGATACTCCTCAAAGAAATACCTTTGGAAGTCTTCAGGTCCTAACACCTGCTTAACCTGCTCATTCACATCCTCATTAATCATCCTGCACAATTTTTCAACTGTGCTCACCAGCACATACATTGAGGATGAACTGTCTGCAAAGAGAAATAAAAACATAGGATATATAAAAAGAGGCTTTCCAAAATCATTACATCCATCAAATATTTTATACTTTAGTTATCCTTGATTCTTTAACCTATTTTTTAATTTCTTAGGAAAAAATTATCAAGTAGGGGCCAAAAGTGAAAAAGGGTCATCACCTAATTCTAAGAGTTCCTGGAGGTTTCTCATAGCGTTGTTCATTTCTCCAAGCCTACTATAAACTTCATTCATTCGGGGATAAACTCCATTTAAAGAAGGCACATCAAATAATTTTTGGAAGTGAGCAACGATAGCTTGCAAAGTTTGCAAGTTTGGCATATTGCTGTCCTGTCCAAAAGAAGGTGTTGAAAAGATCATTCATGTCTGGAAATATTCTAAATATTTAATAAAAAAAATTTTAAAAACTTAAAAATGTGAACATTTATGTAAGTTAAGCATTACCTTTTCCTTATTTTCTACTTCTTCCAACATTGTATCCACCATAAACAACAGATCTTCAACTTTAATACTTTCATTTTCATCCTGTTTCTTTAAATTATGCCAAGGTATCAATTCTGTAGATAGCATTTTCAAGGACTTATACAAATCCTTTATGACAAAAGAAACAACATGGTAGTATTGATTTCAATAATTTCTACAATAACACTAATAAAACAATCCAGGCAGTTTAAAAAATAGACATGTAACTATCATCAGTATTTAGAAATAATTTAAAAAATTTTGTTAAAATTAAGTTTCTCCAGGAAAATGTAGGATTTATTTAATAAAAACAAAGTACACACCGATTATTCCAAATATGGATGCCCTAAGCAATTATACGTTATTTATGATCACTATATTATTTACGTGGTTAACTTGAATTACTGGTACATAAAACCAAAATATAAGGATAAACTTATTCTTTGAGTCCCACTCCCCACCAATGCTGGTGACTGAACCCAGGGCTTTATGTATGCTAGGAAGCACTCTACCACCAACTTATATCCCCAGCCCACATTCTGAATTTTTATAATAGCTTTGAGATGAATTTATATACCAAAAAATTAATCAAGTATACAATCAGTTTTAGTATTTTCAGAAATATACAAACCTCACCACTATCTTAACTTCAGAACTTGTTTATCAACCCAAAAGTAATCCCATATCCACTCATAGTCCTTCCCCATGCTCCCCTGCCCCCCAGCCTCCAGGAACCACTAAACCACTTTGTTTCTATGATCTGCCATTTCAGGTCATTTCACCAAACAGAACCACACAAATGACCATTTGGGATTGATTTCTTACACTAAGTATATCGTTTCTGAGACTCATCCATATTGTAATGTATGTCTCCAGATAAGAGTTCCTCTGACATTAAAAACTTGATTCTACTTCATCTTAATAACCACCTTAACTTTCTTGGCATAGATATATTGCCCTAGTCTATTTACACTATGCACAAAAGGCAAAGCCACTGGAAGTTTAGAGCTCTAAGACTGACCAACTGACAAATATTTACCAAGTATCTAGTTTGTGCACAACATAATGCTTGACCCCTTTAGAACAATGCTGTCTGGGGGAAAAAAATGAGCAAGAGTAATTTTAATCGTCTAGCAATCATATTAGGGAAAGTAAAAAGAAACAGGTAACACTAACTTTAGTTAATATATTTTTATAATGGTAGAATGCTTGTCTATAATGCATAAAGCCCTGGGTTTGATCCTCAGCACAATGTATTTAATTCAGTATATCCCCAAAATAATATGTAATATTTTCGGATTTTTTCCATAGTCTTCTATATCTGGTGTGCATTTTACACTTTTTAATGGGGGAACTACCCACATTTCAATTGATCAACCACATGTGGCTACCATATTGAAGAGTGAAGTTCTAGAATACACAAGTACAAGAAATTCCTCCTTTTTCTTATTTCTTATTCTAGTCCTCCACTTATTTAGCACTCCTGCATTAAGATACAGACCTCACATACTGATACTTTTCATTTTGTAGTATGGCAGCTATCTATTTTAAATGTCAGAAGTAACTAATTCTAGCCAACTGCCTCTTGGGTGTCCTCAGAATATTCAATTTATAAAACTAATTCTTGCTCCTTCCACTGGAAAAACTGGAACAACAAGAACGTGTTACCACTGCAAAGGCTTTCTTGGGTGCTGGCTGCAGTCAGTGATCTCCTCATTCTCTGGACTCCAGAGTACAAGTCACGTGTATTATTCACATGCACTTTGCCATCTGTCTTTACAGCATACTTTTCTTCTAATGACACCATAATGGTTATTTAAATCTCATATTTTTGAGTATATTTTCTCTCCAACTTGTCTGAATCTCATTCACTTTTTCTAATAACTCCAACAATGCTCTGGACATTAAATAATCAATATATGTCTCTTAATTTGATCCCTTTGCCTCCTTTCTTGTTTTCTCCCTTTGCTGGAAAGGCTGAGGCTTTTTCTACTCCATTTCTGTTGAGGAGCTGGCACTGTTATATGCTATTGGGAAGTCCATCTGACGGGCAATGACTGGGAAGTGCCATGGTGTTCAAAGTTTATCACTAATTATTTCACCCTCTTATGAGAAACAGACTAGATGCATATAAAGTAAGCATATTAACCCAGTTCAGGATATCCTTAACCAAAACATTTATGTGTTGTATAGTTCTGAGCTGAAAGGGAAAAAGAAATTGGGCTGAATGTAAAGATTCTTTTATCAGTTATATACAGGCATATTTTTATTAAAAATTTTTAATATTTACTGTTGTCACCCTCCACACATATTGTTGTCTTGGAATATATTCTGCTTTATTCTTCGGATAAATATTAATTGAGCACTCATTATGTGTCATGAGGATCCTTGGGCAATATCAAGGAACAAATAAGAAAACTTTCTGTTCTCATGAAGCTTACACAACTTAACACATATTTTCTGCATTATTTATACTTCATGGTATTAAGGCTTCTGCCGACAAATACCGTGAAGCATATCTTCATTTCCTGAGGGAGTGCTATGTATGATATTAGTTAATGAGAAATCTAAATTTAAAGGGCACAGAAATTAAATACTAGTAACTTCAAGCCCATTCACCTTTCAATAAAATCAAAACTGGAAATACCTCAAATTATGCAATAAAGAATACACAATTACTATGAAGTGAATACATTTTAATCTTCATGGATCATCAGAACAGCTGAGAGGAGGGCTGGCTGCTAGTTGACTATTACCTGCTCTAGAGAATAAATCAAAGATAAGCTAGCTCTGAGAAAAGGAAAAAAATTATGAAGAGAAGGAAAATATTTTCAACTAAAATGCAATTAAGACATTACATTTGAAGACAAATAGGGCCAAGAAAATCTGTAATGTAGAGATACCAACAGGAGGGAGATGAGGGTGGAACAAGAAAGGAAGATCCAGAAATGATCCACGATCTTCAATGAGGCAATGGGCCTAAAAATCTTTGGTAGAACTTTAGAGGAAGAAAACATAACAGTAGTGACATCATCAAATTGATAGTACTTTGTAGATAGTAAAATTCCAGTATTAGATAAGCTTTTCCAGATTTATTGTTAAATTAACATCAAAAGCCAAGTCTAATTAATAAATCTATAAAGTCCCATCGATTTTACAAGCACATAAAAAACATTCAACCCCTTACCTTTAGAGATGTCAGTTCATCAGCCCACATTTCTATTATAGGAACAAGATGCTCAAATCCACAATCTTGAATAAGATCTTTATTAAAATTTTGGGCTCCTCCTTTGCTCTGTTTATAAATTATTACTGGAGTTCTTGGATTGTGAATAATTGAATTGATGCTACACAACACCTTTTTTTAAAATAAAAAGTGTTTTTAGTCATACAAAAGGCTAAAGGGGTACCTTATATGCCGATATAACGTGATTTTTCAGAGCTAATTTTAGGTATTATAAAAATCTTTAGTGAGATTGACACTTGCAAAATTTTGGTTATATGATTAATCATGATAATGAGATTACTGTATAAGTTGTGAGGAGAACCAAAAACTTCACAGAAAAACAAGAATTTTAAAAATGAATAAGACTTGAAAAGAATTATAAATGAACCTAGATGCCCTTCAATGGATGAATGCATTAAAAAAAATGTGGCATTTATACACAATGGAATATTACTCAGCAGTAAAAAATAACAAAATCATGGCATTTGCAGGGAAATGGATGTCATTAGAACAGATTATGCTAAGTGAAGTTAGCCAATCCCTAAAAAACAAAGGCCGAATGTCTTCTCTGATATAAGGCGGTGGGGGGGGGGTGACTCAAAATGGGATAGGGAGGAAGAGCATGAGAAGAAGATTACCACTAAATAAGGAAGAGAGGTGGGAGGGAAAGGGAGGGAGAAGGGGAATTGCACGGAAGATGGAAGGAGACCTCATTGTTATACAGATTACATATATGATGATGTGAGGGGGGACAAAAAGAAGTGTGTCACATTAAATTGGGTAGAGAGAAGTGATAGGAGGAGAGGGGAGGGGAAGGGGGGATAGAAAGGACAGCAGAATAAAATAGACACTATAGTATTGCTGTATATATATACATGACTGTATAACCAATGTGATTCTGCAACCTGTACACTCAGAAAAATGAGAAATTAAACCCCATTTGATTCAAATGTATGATTGTACTGTCATGTGTAACTAATTAAAACAAATTTAAAAAAGAGTTATAAATGACTTCTTATAATCCACATAAAGAATAATCATCCAGGGGCTGGGGATGTGGCTCAAGCGGTAGCGCGCTCGCCTGGCATGTGTGTGGCCCAGGTTCGATCCTCAGCACCACATACCAACAAAGATGTTGT